ATTATTTGGATCTTGTTTCTGGACATTCCAAAGATAAAATGTAAGATGAAATCTGAAGATATACTGCTGCTTTGCATTTATATGAGAGGTTGTTGCTTAACCCTATTTACAATTTTAACTTCCAAGAAGAGGTTCAATAAATAGAATATCCTTAGGCATATACACTTAAGAGTTGGAGTTTTACAGACATCAAAGTAAAAATACATACAGTTGAAGTCGGAAAATTACATACACCTTAGTCAAATACATTTAAACTCAGTTTTCACAATTCCTGACATTTAATTCTAGAAAAAATTCCCTGTCTTAGGTCAATTAGGATCACTACTTTATTTTAAGAATGTGAAATGTCAGAATAATAGTAGAGAGAAGGATTTATTTCAGCTTTTATTTCTTTCATCACATTCCCAGTGGGTCAGAAGTTTACATACACTCAATTAGTATTTGGTAGCATTGCCTTTAAATTGTTTAACTTGTGTCAAACGTTTCGGGTAGCCTTCCACAAGCTTCCTACAATAAGTTGGGTGAATTTTGGCCCATTCCTCCTGACAGAGCTGGTGTAACTGAATCAGGTTTGTAGGCCTCCTTGTTCGCACACGCTTTTTCAGTTCTGCCCACACATTTTCTATAGGTTTGATGTCAGGGCTTTGTGATGGCCACTCCAATACCTTGACTTTGTTGTCCTTAAGCCATTTGCCACAACTTTGGAAGTATGCTTGGGGTCGTTGTCCATTTGAAAGACCCATTTGCCACCAAGCTTTAACGTCCTGACTGATGTCTTGAGATGTTGCTTCAATATATCCACATAATTTTCCTTCCTCATGATGCCATCTATTTTGTGAAGTGCACCAGTCCCTCCTGCAGCAAAGCACCCCCACAGCATGATGCTGCTACCCCCGTGCTTCATGGTTGTGATGGTGTTCTTCGGCTTGCAAGCAATCCCCTTTTTCCTCCAAACATAACGATTGTCATTATGGGCAAACAGTTCTATTTTTGTTTCATCAGACCAGAGGACATTTCTCCAAAAAGTACGATCTTTGTCCCCATGTGCAGTGGCAAACCATAGTCTGGCTTTTCTATGGCGGTTTTGGAGCAGTGGCTTCTTCCTTGCTGAGCGGCCTTTCAGGTTATGTCGATATAGGACTCGTTTTACTGTGGATATAGATACTTTTGTACCTGTTTCCTCCAGCATCTTCACAAGGTCCTTTTCCTCTTCTGGGATTGATTTGCTCCAAAGTACGATCATCTCTAAGAGACAGAACGCGTCTCCTTCCTGAGCGGTATGACGGCCGTGTGGTCACATGGTATTTATACTTGCGTACTATTGTTTGTGCAGATGAAAGTGGTACCTTCAGGTGTTTGGAAATTGCTCCCAAGGATGAACCAGACTTGTGGAGTTCTACAATTATTTTTCTGAGGTCTTGGCTGATTTATTTTGATCTTCCCATGATGTCAAGCAAAGAGGCACTGAGTTTGAAGGTAGGCCTTGAAATACATCCACAGGTACACCTCCAATTGACTCAAGTTATGTCAATTAACCTATCAGAAGCTTCTAAAGCCATGACATCATTTTCTGGAATTTTCCAAGATGTTTAAAGGCACAGTCAACTTAGTGTATGTAAACTTCTGACCCACTGGAATTGTGATACAGTGAATTATAAGTAAAATAATCTGTCTGTAAACAATTGTTGGAAAAATTACTTGTGTCATGCAGAAAGTAGATGTCCTATCCGACTTGCCAAAACTGTAGTTTGTTAACAAGACATTTGTGGAGTGGTTGAAAAACGAGTTTTAATGACTCCAACCTAAGTGTATGTAAACTTCTGACTTCAACTGTAGTTACTACAGTACTTACCTCAACTTCTGCAATGAAGATGTTGAGTTCTACTTGTATGTGGAAATCTAGCATATTCCACCAACAAATTCAATGTATTACAATTTTCTCAAGGTGACCATTTTAGCAGTATGCTGTGAGTATAAATGAAGGTGATTTGTGGGCATTCTTTTTCTATTCTGTATTATTGCTTTTTGGAACCATTGCTAATTAGGAAGGCTATGGGTTTTATCCTATACCAATGTGAACACATGAATACATATTTGCTGTAGTTTACACTCATTGTTGGACTCTGTCTTACTGAGACATCCACTGGCAGGGGACACCCCCACCCACCCAAATTGGCAAGTTGTTTGCAACTAAACGTCTCATTATCTAAACATAGCTCATATTTGCATATAGTACACTGCCGAGCCATGTACAGTATTTAAAGACTTGGGCCAATGCGGTTTCTGCATTAAGATGCATTTGCATGACACTTCATCATTCTATGGCAGCCATGTTAGCTCGCTATAAACGTTACATGGGGACTATTTAAACAACGCTATGTAACTGAATGTCTAGAACAATATTCTAAAAGTTGACCTCTCTAAAGGCCTTTTCACACTGCAATGTTCTTAACCCCCAGGCTATCTTAGCCCCAGGTTAGACTAGCCCCGGGCTAGTTTAGCCTGTGTTCACACAAGCTTTTGTTAACCCTGGGCTAAGCTACAGACCTGGACTAAGGATTCCCACCCATTCCAAAGCCCTGGGCTAACGGACAAATACAACATATGACCAATATTCTATCTCTGACACTTCAGATGGAAGGATGAAATAGTATGAATTTACTTAACGACGTGCAGAACACATTATTTACCAGCATATGTAAATGAAGTGACAGTGTAGCTTTTGTGAATGGACAGTGAGAATTCTAGGTGTTGTTCTTGACCCTGTTTCACACTGCCTGTGTTTCTGGGGCTAGTCAGGTCATTCCTGCCTTCTCCGTCTCCAGGAAAAATCACTTCTTATTTAGAGTAAAATGTGGATTCCAAAAGGCTTTAAATATAAGGTCACGTGTCCTGTACATTAAAAACACAAAAATATGAATCTTGGAAGGGAATAAATGTTATGCATTTTGAACTCTTTTTTTCAGTCGATTTAGGCATTTTTGCCATATCCCCCGTTATAATTCATCAACTTCCACGATAAATATTAGCCATAAAATAATAAAATATTTAAAATCATTTTTTCTATACTCCTAGTTAAATTATCTCTCATCAATAACGTTTTTTTCCAGGATTATTGCATTTATTATTATTTTATTTAAGATTTTCTGTGTCCCTGATATCACTTTCCACCCTGTTAGTTTGTTGTAATTGTCCATTTAAGAAAACAACCCCTTCCTACAATGACACCACATTCAGGAAGTGTCATTATTTATTTGGTGGGAAAACAATGGTGCAAAACTGCATAAATATAAATACTCAGTTGTATCTATTTGTCCATGTTCCATGTTGTTAGTCTGTATGTCCCACTCATAAATGTCCACCGTGTTAACTAAATTATAGAGAAACTTTACCAAAATATCAAAATGTTAAATTACTTGTATGTTTGATAGAGAAGTTAAAATCCTGTTCAAGTGTTCACCATTATGCAAGCTGAATATTTCTCACTCACAGAACTATGGCTAATTTAGGCTCCAAACGTCTACCCTGTTAGGTTCCACCCTGTTAGGAGGGGCCAGCTAACCCTGGGTTAAGGCTGCTGCTAGCCCAAGTTAGAATGTGCAAGTGTGCGTGAACACTCGCTTAGCCCCGGTCTAAGGTGCAGTGTGAACGCGCCATAAATATATGGCTCTGGTACACTACAGTATGTCCATCAGGCATCACCCATATGACCCTCATAACCTGTGAACACAAAACATCAGAAAACACTCTAATCTTGCTTCAATATTAAGTCAAGTAAAGAAAAACTAATCCTAATAAAACTGGATACAATGACGTCATGAATGTGTGTAGATATTGCACTGACAAAGAGCTTAGTCTCACCCGTAAGCCAATCTGTTGCCAATATATTTGAAACGGTTAACTTATTTGCAATCATGTACTTCTGCATGGCTAAGGTTTTGACTGTACATCTTTGCTATTAGCTATAAGTGCTTCCTGAACAAGGAGGAGCATATATTACTAAAGTGAAAGTGAATCACCAGTCAGCCTCTGCCATTTTCTGCCTGCCACGGTTGAACGTTTTCAAGTCGACTGTTAGAATAAACACTTAAAGTTTGTAGTTTATTCCACATCCTGTACTGAGACATGGCTAATCATGAAGTAAGTTATTTTCCTTCTTCTGCGTCCTTGTGGAAAGCTATTATCCTCTTCTGCATCCTAGTAGTAAGTTATTATCCTATTCTGCGTCCTAGTAGTAAGCTATTATCCTCTTCTGCATCCTAGTAGTAAGTTATTATCCTCTTCTGCGTCCTAGTAGTAAGCTATTATCCTCTTCTGCATCCTAGTAGTAAGCTATTATCCTCTTCTGCATCCTAGTAGTAAGTTATTTTCCTTCTTCTGCGTCCTAGTAGTAAGTTATTTTCCTCTTCAGCGTCTGTAACTAAGAGGAAGTCAAAAGGCTAGTTGACCCAAATCACTATATTACACCGTGGTTTCCTTACGCTGTAATTAGTTTAAAGACAGCAATCCATGCTCTGGTTTTGTGTACATGGCCACAGTCTCTTTTTATAATTTGTGGGCCAAATCCAACGAAAGTCAATATCCTCAATATGAGCATTTTACACGCTTCAGGTCCAAATCATTTGAAAGTACCATTGCTTGAGCGAGAGCAGACAAAAAAAATAATAGACGCTTGATGGTGATTTGGACACGAAATGCAAATACATTTTTAATATTGGGGATATTGATTTGCATTGTTTTTGGGACACAAATGCTAATAAGAGACTATGGCTAGGTACACAAAACCAAAGCATGCTTTCTTACATTGTCTGTAAACTTCTTACAGGGTAATCACCTTGTAATTTGGGCTTAAACCTGTGTATTGTACAGGGCCGTGCACAGAGCTTTGGTGTGGGCAGGTGCTCAAACTGACAGAAGGTCAATTACTATCATACTGTGCGTATAAATATTATTTCACAGCTGAAACGTTACATTTTTTAATGCTTTTTTAGGGGCCTGCAATGCGGAAAATAATGGAAAATAAGGTGAAACTCATTGACTGGCTTCGATCAGATCCATCCTTCATTCTTCAACATCTGCATTGTAAAGGCATTATCAAAGACAGGGAGTATCAAAGCCTTATGAGTGTCCAAGAGCCAGAGGATAAAGTCATCAAACTGATTGATAAGATCCTTGGCAAAAAAGAAACAACAAGTCTCCAGTTCCTTGATACTCTCAAAGAAAGTGATGTGAATGACACCTATCCGCAACTTCGGCAGTGGATAACCACCGTAGGCTTACCAGGTACTATGATCTTACATTCTACTTGACTCTGTACTCAGAGCATTATGTGGAAATGGGCGTGTGATGTAAAGTAATATTTTAAAAGCCTCCTGTATTGAAGTTGTCATTGGCCCTATGACTGATCTTATATTGTTATCTCCAGAGCAACAGGATAACCTCCCTCAGGATTGGCAAGCCATGCCAGCCACCAACTCTGTCCGGCGCTACCAAATCCAGTCAGGAAGCGCAGAGCATGGTGAAGTCCTAGGCCTGTTCCAGGCTTCTTGTCCAGGCAATACTATCATTGAGGTACCTCTTGTTCTAAAGTGACTTCCTTAGTAGTTATAACTGTAAATGTGCAGCTGTATATAAGCCACGGTATTGGAGGTTATTGAATGTCTTGCCAATTACTGTAATATGTGTGTTTTTTCTCCTTCCTTTAGATTGAAAGGATCCAGAACCCAAACCTGTGGAAAAGCTTCCAGATCAAGAAACAAGACATCGACGGCAGGAATGATGGCGTGATCAATGAGAGACGTCTTTTCCATGCAACCAGCCACACAACCATAGGTCACATCAACGACCATGGTTTCAATCGGAGCTACGCTGGAAAAAATGGTAAGATGTGCCAAAGGATAAAGTCCAAAACAGGAAAGTCTTGGCTCAAGAAGAACTTTATATAACTTTTCAAGAATCCTTATATTTAGCTTGTGTTTCTCTCTTCTGTGGTAATAGTGTCAGTAATGTGTCATAATCTTTCTACAGATGCACTATATGGAAGAGGCACCTACTTCGCAGTCAATGCCAGCTACTCTGCTGATGACAAATACTCAAAACCGGATGGCGAAGGGAGGAAGTATATGTACCTGTGTCGTGTTCTGACTGGACACTTCGAACAGGGAAAAGAGGGGATGCTAGAACCTCCATTGAAAGGCGATTCAACGATTCGGCGCTATGACAGTACGACAAACGACCCATCTAATCCAACCGAGTTCGTAGTCTTCCACGACTGTCAGGCATATCCAGAGTACTTGATCACTTTCTTAGGGGTCTAGAGCAACTGTCTCAACTCAGAACCGCTCTTGGACATCCATTGTTAAAATCTAATTTTGAGACCAGCAAAAAATAACCTAAAGAAGTGATTGGTGGTAATGTTGAAAGTGTTGCACCAACGCCTTGATATTCTAGATTTAAATCTGTTATTTCCGTTGTCATCATTTAATTATTGATTTACTGTGTCCTATAACCTGGCAGCAATTCACATTGAAATCTAACAGATTGCACCTTTAAACAACAGTCTTATTCAAATGTTTTCAAAGGGATCATTTTTAGCTGTGCACTTATTAGGAAGGGCTGTTGGGATTTTTTTTTTTTTTTTTTTACAATGGTTCTTATATGGTAGCTTTTGGGAACATCAAGTCAGTAAATGTCAGTCACCAGACTCACCATCCATTGCTGGGTAGGAGAGGTATTAGGTTTTTTTAAATAACAGTTGTGATGTGGTTTACTATAGCTCAATTAATCTATCTTTGTGTGCTAGTGTTTTTTCTATGACACATATTAGCCATGCCATTAAATATCCTAGATTTGTAGAGAAACAAAATGGGGGGGGGGGGGGGGGGGGTGAATAGTTATGCAAGCTCAAGTTTTCTGTTTGTTTTGTCATAATTCTTGTGTGTTTCACCCAAAAAATATTTTGTATCTTCAAAGTGGTAGGCATGTTGTGTAAATCAAATGATACAAACCCCCCAAAAATCCATTTTAATTCCAGGTTGTAAGGCAACAAAATAGGAAAAATGCCAAGGGGGGGTGAATACTTTCGCAAGCCACTGTATATGTGGGTCATTCTACAGATTCGGTGACATTTCAGTATTGTCAGTGTCCCAAGATGTACTAGTGTTATAACTTGTCAGAACATTTATCAAACTACACTTAAATTACAACATTTCAAAGTTTTACATGTTTTTAATATGGAGTAGAGAATATGATTTTAAACAGAGATGAATTTCAATACTTATATGTTTGCTTTTCTTAGGAGTATTAAGAATTTCGCCTGTCCCTATTGACCATCATGCAAATGGCGTGACTCATTTTGAGTACACAGTGTTAAATAATAATGCTTTTTTTTTGTTAAATTAATTGTATATGCCCCCTTATTATGCATAATCCATTTTCTCAGCATAAGACATTTTATTTTCTGAGAAATTCAGGCTTTTACCCCTGTCCTTGTATTTCTTTCAACCCCGTAACGCAACAATACCCCCACTCACAATTAAATAATGGTTTGATCCTGTGGACATCATTTATGAGGAAGTGACATCATACAAGTCTTCAGAGAAGCCTGGTGTGACAAGTGGTAAGCTGCTCTCTCACTTTTTATAAATATTTCATGTTTTTTAAGCACATATGGGCTTTGTCAATCTCAGGTATTCAACTATGTTGGGGGGGGGGGGAATTCATAGTTAAGATTTTACCAAGAATTGTTTTTATAGCTATGAAGTATAACAATGTCTTTTGTTGAATAAGGCCATGTGGCACACTGCTAGCTGCTAGCATCCCGAATTAGCAACAGATTAGCACAAAATCTTCAACCCTGTCACATTCAACCCCATCACATTTTTCAATGTTACGGGGTTGAATGGCTGTTACAGGGTTGAATAGCTGTTAAATCTTAGCAATATTTAATGTATATTGCTTAATACCAATCATATTTTCTTGTTGAATGTTTGTTGTTTACGGTTTTACAGTATCAACTAAAAGTACGAGGAATTTTTGAAAATAATAACTTTAAAAAAGTGACAATTAATTTGTTCTCTCTCCTATATACATTGACATATTTAGGAGTATTATCTGCAAGTTCATGTTCATTTTACTACATAGTGATTAAAAGGATACAATATTTAGTCTTGAAGAGTAAGCAGGTCATTGACTTGACCTTGACCTACAATTTCAGATTCAACAATGGAAAAAACAGCAGCAGAAAGGAAACACATATAGAGAGGAAGGTGAGGGACATCCGCGCGCCGGTGGTCAGGTAATTCTCCTGGACATGGGAAGGGAGCACCAGATGGTGTTGGTGCAACCCTAAAAAGAACCGCAGACAGGCTGATAAGTCAAGGATGTGACATCCCAAATGCTCATACTCTGTACAGGGTTTTAGAGGAGAACAACACTGCCATCAAGCTTTACTTCATTGAAGACGAGGCCATCGAGAAAGCCGTCCAAGGTATGCCAGCCAATTTGCCAGTAGTTCCATCCACAATGCGGATCCACCAAGTTGTTTGTGTGGCTGCAAGGCAAATTGCCTACCGTGATGTAAGCTGTATGTGCACAGTCCACAACAAGAAACTGGAATGCCAGTGTTTCAATACACAACATTTCACATTTACCCCTAAAGTTACATCAGTCGTGTCACAGAGGGAGGTTGATTGGGCAAATCCAGACATATGTGGGAAATGGTGCGTGGCCAAATATGATGACGATTTCTATCCCGGAATAATTCTAGCCACAGATGAATCCCATGTGCAGGTCAAATGCATGTGCTGTGCTGGACCAAATAGGTACTTCTGGCCACTTCTTGATGATATCCTGTGGTATCCATTTGAGGACATCTTGGAACACATTGATCCCCCTAAACCGGTGACTTCTAGGCACATGGAAATACAGAAGGAAGTGTGGGCTAGGCTCTCTCAGTAAAAATGGTGAACAAACTGTAGGCTTACCTATAGGTTATTAATGTTAAGATGTTTGCTTAATGTTCAAACATTCAAACAACACAGACATTCCTGCCATTACTCTGGATATTTCTATGAAATCAATGAAAATGTTGTAACTGTTGTTAGTTTATTAATGTGTTTTAATCTGTCTAGATTTCATCTTGATTGTTTAAACTTTAAAAGCTATGTTGACAGTAGTTTAAAATGTTAAAAAATGGCAACATGTGACCTATATAGGTTATCAATGTTAAGATGTTTGCTCAATGTTCAAACAGACTCCTGCCATTATCAGATGGATATTTTTATGAAATCAATGAAATGTTGTTACTGTTATTAGTTCATTAATGTGTTTTACTCTGTCTAGCTTTCATCTAGATTCTTTAGATTTTAAAAGCTATGTTGACAGTAGGTTTAAAAATGTTTAAAATGTTTAAAAAATGGCAACATGTTAGTGATCTCAAAAGATAAAACATATGACACGTGATGCTTTTCACTCAACCCTGTTACATGATTTTCAACCCTGTTGCGGTGCATTCATCCCTGTTACGAGATTATTTTTTTACATGTTTGTATGAAATACACAAAATATAACATCAATAGTGTTTTTATTGTGTGTATTAAATCAGGGTAAATAAGGCTATTTCAATTTTGTCAGGAATTACGCAGCATTCTTGCACATTTCTTGCGAAAATGTGGAGTTAGATTAGAAATTTCTTCATCGTAAACTGGAAAGGATGGTGCTGGTCAGTTTTTCTTGATTTTCTCTTTAATTACAATATGCCATTATTTACAAGGGACATCTAAACTGTGAGATTATGCCAGAAGCTGATCTCAAGCTTATTGGAAAAATGAATAGTTGAATAACAAAATGACTGTGACGGGGTTGAATTAAATTGGGACTTGTTTGAGAAAATAATACAGAATAATAACTTAATACTCTACATTGAGATGGGAAAAGGTATTTTCTATCAAGTACACACATTACTTTGTCACATCAAATAAAAAAAAGCTTAAGATTTTAATGTTCATTGTTTCATCCTCCTCAATCACAAAAGGCACCGAATCTGTAGAATGACCCATGTACTGCACATTATTCATTAGAACAGAATAAAGTAAGAAAGAAAGAAAGAAAGCATCAGACTTTTGCTTTGTGAATAGACATTTATTCTCTGTATAACGGTACACTACATGGTCAGATTATGCCTGCAAATGCTTACTGTCAAAGTCATGTTACAAAGGCTCCAGGTTTGGTCCCTCCGGGTACTCCCATCCATGCAAACCTTGGAGAGGAAGTGATTAGAAGTCTAGTCACCCAGTAGCTGTGTTGAATGACTACAGAACCACAATGACAGCTATGTTACAGCTAGGCATCTGCTATAGATCATGTCCATGACCATGAGTTGTTTTATCTGTACTGGCAAACCCTGCATTTTTAAATAGACACAACACTAAAATGTGTCAGTTAAAATAAAATACAACTTAAGCTCATGTTGTGGTGTGTACGGTTTTAAACCACTAGATCTCTTGTTGTGGTGTGTACGGTTTTAAACCGCTAGATCTCTTGTTGTGGTGTGTACGGTTTTAAACCACTAGAGGTCCATAGAGTCAAAGGTCTGCTTTGTATTTCATAAACAAAACATATTTTTTGGTGTGAAAATCATAAGATCTTGTTGTTAATTGCGTTTTTAATTGTGATCAAAACAAACATTTATAGTGTGGACACATCCTTTAGATGACCGATGATGACCCCTTGAATAATGACCCTATATTCAGAAAATGTACTGTATGAAATAACTATCCTGGTGCTCAGGGTCTCTAAAACATGATATCCATTGTCAATACTGTCCATAGTCATTATTCAATAGTAACTCCAAGGGAATAAGATCAGGTAGTTACCTAACGCTGTAACTTCTATTTTGAAATAAAAACACTGTACACAGAGGGGGACAGTACTGTACAGCAGGCGTTACCTAGTCACTGAGGAATTAGCTAGTAATTCTCTATATATAAAGCCTATGTATGTAATATATGTAAGGGATGAATGCAGACTGGAAATAATGGACTACGTGGAAGGGACGACATGCTGCACAGTTTAAAGCCTCTGGTGTGTAGACTATGGGAGGCCACTACATAGAACCATGACTATAATATAATATAATAATAATAATAATATGCCATTTAGCAGACGCTTTTATCCAAAGCGATTTACAGTCATGTGTGCATACATTTTTACCACATCAAGTAACTGACGCAAGCAGTAAAATTAGATTTAAAAAAAAAAGATAAAAATACACCTTATGGAACAGCGGGGACTGTGAAGCAACACCAACATAGGCACA